GAGTTTGACGTCTCGAGACGAATTCAGTGGTGCAGGAGTCGACGAAAAATGTAGGCATTACTTGTTTGCTGAGGTGGTTCAGACATCAGGTATCAGTAAAGCTATTAACTATGTAGCCTGGTCACCGTGCTAGATGTACACCACCTACTTGTCACGTGTTTTCTTTCTTGCACTTATTCCGTAATCCAGTTAAACTGTAGTTCTCGCATTTATTATCTGTTGTGATTTCACATTTGCTGCATTTCCATTTTAAGCTTGTTTCTGCAACCCAATAAACATAATACAGTAGCGGTCAAAAGTTTGGAAACTTTTTATTTTTGATCTAGCGTAGCCAATAGACAATGAAATTGTCCCGAATTCACATATTATATACAGAATCAAGTGTAGATTACGATGGCAACATAATTTTTTGAAAACGAGAATCGCTTTTGAAACGAATTTTTATAAGAAATGGCGCGTCAAAAGTTTGGAAACATCTCAGTTCATTGGACGATCCACCTAATTTGTCTTGCAGATATCGTTCAGCACCCAGTGAAGGAAGCACGGTCTCATTTGCAATGATTTTGGGGATCTTTTGTTCCTTGCCTTCATTGACAGGGCACCTCTCCTTTCACTTTTGCTCAGCACCAAAACGGAAGTGGTTGCCGATTGACTGACAAAGGGGGCCTTTCAGGACATGGAGCGTTCTTTCAAAATGATTTATTGAATGTTCGTAGAGGCTCATGTGAGGGACACAGAACCATGGTGAAATTTTCCTGAATGCTCTCAGGAATGACAAGTTCGATCCCCCGTGATGACAAATTTTTGCACTTATGTTGGCGCCACCAAATTGTCTGCAAAACACAACAGGAAAGTCTATTCTCGACGATGGCGCATTTGACGGCATACTGGTGGTACCGTATGGCAAAAACTCGTCATCAACGGAGCTCGAACTCTGACCAGCTCTTCACCACTGTTCTGATATTCCTAGGCGTTCAGTAAAATGGATAAGGGTTTTCTGTTCCTCACATGAGCCTCTACAACACTCGGAAAACCATCTCGAAAACAGCCTGCCTTGTGAGCTCACGCTTTCGACTGTATCCACCGATGTCACCATGCCAACTGGAACACAAAAGAGAGAGATATTATCTTTACGAAAATTGTCCAGCGTTGTCGAATGACTCGATTCTCGGATCTTGCATTGTGCTAGGCCATCAGAAATTGAGTGAAGTCGTTGCTGGAGGCGGTCCATGTTTGGCAACATTCAAAGGCAGCTTAATTTCGTCCACTTATTTAGCAACCCTTCCACTGTTTGCGTGCAGAAGCGTAGTCTTACCCTACGCTATCACCCATCTTGGAAACAGTTCCTTACTGTTGCAAGGAAGAGTCTGAGCACACACCTCCACGCGCGTCTCAACGATTCAAGGTGCCGGCAGGAATCAATTCGATGAATAAGTTGACGACATTTTTCCTCCTTCCTCACAGCGTGCACCCAGCCGAGTTCGGTGCCACTAGAGGCCCAATATCCCCTGCCACACCTGTGGTTGGGTATTCGTGAGCTCCCTTCATTCCTTTTGTACGATCCCGTTCATCAAGGTCATTGCTTTTGCTACGCGTACCAGTTTCGAGCTTTGTTTCTCCAGGCTCAAACCTGAAGAGCAATCTCGCGTTATGCGTTCCCTAGATACTTTCCTTCTCAAAGCAGTTACCATATTTCGGACTGGCCCTGCCGTGTCTGTTCAGAGTTTGAAGACAAGAACTGCCAACAGTCGGAAATCACGATTTTGCGTAACTCAAAAGGGAGGGCAAAACGACAGAAGTTCCTAGAATTAGCTCAAACCTCTGTATGGACATGAAAAGGGCTGATCTTTCTCTACAAGATGGCATCCAGAATATTTGAACAGTTGCAAGAGAATTCACCAAAAAATGTAGTAGAACACTCAAGGTGCAAAACGGCGATACATTTTGACCAACCTAGTAGTTCGCACAACGGCTTTATCACTGTTCGCATTGATTATCTGTTGTGATTTTCACATCTGCTGCATTTCCTTTTTAAGCTTGTTTCTGCAACCGAAAAAACATAAATACGATAGCGGTCAAAAGTTGGAAACTTTCTTATTTTTGATCTAGCGTAGCCGATAGACAATGAATTTGTCCCGAATTCACATATTTATATACAGAATCAAGTGTAGATTACGACGTGCAACACAATTTTTTTGGAAACGGGAATCGCATTTGAAACGAATTTTTATAAGAAATGGCGCATCAAAAGTTTGGAAACATCTCAGTTCATTGGACGATCTACCTAATTTGTCTTGCAGATATCGTTCAGCACCCAGTGAAGGAAGCACGGTCTCATTTGCAATGATTTTGGGGATCTTTTGTTCCTTGCCTTCATTGACAGGGCACCTCTCCTTTCACTTTTGCTCAGCACCAAAACGGAAGTGGTTGCCGATTGACTGACAAAGGATGGTCTTTCAGGACATGGAGCGTTCTTTCAAAATGATTTATTGAATGTTGTAGAGGCTCATGTGAGGAACACAGAACCATGGTCATTTTTCCTGAACGCCCCCAGGAATGTCAAAACAGCGGGGAAGAAATGGTCCAAAGTTCGATCCTCCGTGATGACAAATTTTTGCAAGTTATGTTGGCGCCACCAAATTGTCTGCAAAAAACACGACAGGAAAGTCTATTCTCGACGATGGCGCATTTGACGGCATACTGGTGGTACCGTATGGCAAAAACTCGTCATCAACGGAGCTCGAACTCTGACCAGCTCTTCACCATTGTTCTGATATTCTAGGCGTTCAGTAAAATGGATAAGGGTTTTCTGTTCCTCACATGAGCCTCTACAACACTCGGAAAACCATCTCGAAACAGCCTGCCTTGTGAGCTCACGCTTTCGACTGTATCCACCGATGTCACCATGCCAACTGGAAAGTCTTCAATCTGCTTTTAGATGTTGTAATAAACTGTCTATTGGACCAATGTTTGCACATTTATTCAATACATAAACGTATTGCAAAAATGACAAAAAATGTTGAAGAGAAAGAATGTTTATTTGAAGAAGCAGTAAATCATCATGTCGGCATTTACATTAGAGAAGTACTCGCAGTAGCAACCAAATGTTGTGACATCACGAAGTTGGCTTATCTAAACGGAATAAGGAAAAGGTAAAAGGTAATAAAGGTAAAAGAGGACTCAGCTGTGAATAAAATATGTTAGGAACTTAGGCTGTATGTATACGGCAAGCCTGCGGTGGGTTTCCATCCTATACGATCGTCGCCATATTTCTCCGATATAT